CCTTCTACCAGTGATCTAGGCAATTTGGATAGAAACTGAAAACGAGCACACCAATAACATCGGTAGACATGCAGTGACTCCAACCAGACCTAGTGTGAATCACGCGGTCGCCATCCTAAGAGTCGACGTTGTTCAAACGCTTTGTGACTTCCTTCACACCGTACTTTCAAGTCGGTGATAGTCTAACCTCTCTGCTTCCGCTACTCCAAGTTGGGTGAGGAAAATGCCGCTCCCTTTGGCAAACGAGAGCCAGACATACGTCACGCATACGTCAACCAACGCAGCTTCTGTGGTGGGATACGTTCCACAATTTTGGCGCTATGTGGTCACAAATCGTCCGACGCGATCCGGGACTTGCAAGCTCGTGCATTGGTCTCACTTTTGCTACAACGATCACAATAAGTTCGACTTCAAATTTCCGCAAATATCCCCAAAACCTCAGGTGCTTATCTATAGGTTGTGGGTGGCGTTCTCAAGACTGCATATCGAGGAGCAAGACCTCACAATCTGTTGGCAGCAATTGACTTGTACCAAACCATGGTATGACTTCACTTGACGTTTGGCTTTCACTTGACATCTGACAACTTATCGTTATGTTCGGAAGAGGTTGAGATATTACTTTAATATTTGAGCATTCCCAACTTCCGGTCTGAAATCCGAAGCTCGCGTGCGCCAGTAAATGACGAATCACTGGTAAACGTTTCAGCACGACAAAAGGGGGTGACAATCTCGTGCCGGTAAATAATCACATAAGACGCTGTGAGGTTTGAAGAGGGATATACTTTTGAGGATGCGTCACACGCGGATCTCCCAGTATTCGAGTTGCAAAGCAAATGTTGCGAATATTACATGGGCCCCGATAACACAGAAAAGCGATTTCGGACAAGCGTACAAGCGGAATCCACATACACTTTCCAAAAACGACCGGCAGTCAGTTTTGATCCGGACCATCGGTACCTGACGCCAGTGGGGTCGATCTGAATTTCCGGCTGGCCCGACGTTTGGGGAAATCATGCAGCCAGAAAAGTTTGGTCATTTCAAAAGGTAGTACTGCATAAATTAATCCTGCGATCGGCTTAATGTTGAAGCACTCCTATCAAGTCCAATCAATGTCAATCTCACAATCGATTTTTGGATATGCTAAGCCTTACCACCTTAGCATTCAGACCACCGGCAAGCACCACGATAGCCCAACGTCCAGCTTGCCGAAACAGGACATTCAATTTTCGTAAAAACCCCTTCCGGAAACAGTTCGAGCGAACGTCCGTTAGGGCGTGTGCATGGGCGATAAACAAGCATTTTCTGCTTACCGCTCGTGAAACCGTTTTACAGATATTTCCAGACAAACCGCACATAGGCCACCATCATCTTGTATCCAGTCAAGCAAGGACAATTCAACCGTGTGAATGAGGATGCTTCCTTGCCACGCTGTATGACGCATGCAAGGCGACCGACCTGGTGGCATGAGTTAACTGTTCATGTATCATGGATATGCGTCAGCTTGGATTGCGTCATTGCGCCCACACATCAGGGTGGTAACTAAAAGGCATGTATTATCTTCTTGAGGTTCCAGGTGGATGAGTAGCTTGCGGTGCACGTGCTCACAAAAAACACTAATCGCTTACTGGGCAATAAAAGAAAACCAGCATCTCGCTCGCACTAAGTGCACATTAGGCTTCTGATTCTAGGAGCATGTGGGTTCATATTAGATTCCCGGTTTGATAGTTTCACGTTATGAAATACAAACTATATTATCGTATTTGTATTACGTGTACGACAGCAAAATAGGAATTTCCATTGGAAATGTGATATCTTCCGGCATACAGAAAACGCTTGGATCACACTGGGGACACTTTTCGACGGCCTCTTACCTCCAGATGACAGAGATGTTGCTTTATTGATTGAGTAAAAGAAAAAAATGGATATGGCCATTTAAATGAACGCAACGAGAATGAACGTATTGGTTGCCATATTCTGTTCAGATATACCGAAAAGTCAGCAAGCCAGTTCAGTGTATACCTTTCACAAAATAGTTTTTTGTTGGAGTGAAACGGATGCCACGAATTGAGAAAGAAGCACGACTAAGTTTGTTAGAATGCAGGGAGCGTATGGCTCTGAAAATCGAAAAAGCAGCTAGCTAAACATTTAGCTCCTCATTAGATCAACATTCATGTGTGAAAAAAACTCCATGGAAGTGTGATTCTTTATACGAGTTTTTCATGTAAACAAAGCCCTTTTCTACAATAACTTGCAAATAGTCCAGCCATTGTGATCCCGGAAACCAGATGGGCATCGGCCAAACCATTTATTTCAACTGGATGTAGATTTGCAGGAAAGAATACATGCAGTAATTTCTTGTCACTGCCGGTTGTAGAGCGGCCCAAACGTTTTGCCTCATAGGGGATATTTAACCGGTGGCAATGTATTCCGCGAACTATGCATTGGTTGTGTACCAGTCTTTAAAATTCACCAAGATAGCAATTAGAAAGGACCACCTGATGGTCGTCAGTTGTGGAATATTTGCTCACTTATATTTTATCAAATTCTGTGGCGCATTTCTGCATTATGTTCTGCATTATGTTCTATTGTCTAATGCTAGAGTGTTAACTGAAAATAAGAAATTTAATTGCATCTTAACTCAAACGTTAATTGTCATGACTCATCCCTGTGCGCAACAAGGTTGACCGTGAAATTAGTGTTAAAAATTGGGGAGTGAAACAACTGTTCTACGTTATCTAATATAATGTTCTCACTTGAACGAGCCAACGTCACCAGCAACACAAATAGTATATTGCGCCTGGTGAACCACATTGCACAACCACAGCCTGCTGAAATCTAACATCGCCTTCGCAACTAATGGAATATATTTCTAGTGGCCAGACATATCTATGCGTCATCATGTGTGGTTGTCATTTATGCTGCAATAGGGCTACCAATATAATCGTTTTCATTGGTTCCTTTTGTAGTTAAGCATCACGAATTAACACAATCTTTGTAAGCAAGATAAGTTTGGATTTATTCCGCGGCTTACGTAAGCACTACCTAGAGACATGAGCAGCACTTCAGTCCACTGCAACAACCAAATAATTGGAGTTTTTAGTCTTTGATGGGAACAGGATCTGGAAGAAACCACCTAATTTTGTCAAAATGTGAGACACGCGGCTATTGTTGATTATCGGTAGAATCGATTGTCGCGCACGGATTTAGGGCGCTCTGAGTCTTCCAATTGTGCATCATTCAAAAGTCTGGTGCCAAGTTTCGTTCGTAGGTTAGTACCAAAACAACCAAGTTGGTTGAATTTATCTGATTTAGTTCATATTTAACGAGGCGTTTTGAGGTTCAAAATCCATGTTTTTATCAACCGATCCCAAAGGCCTTGCTGATGTCCACAACTTCGCTGTATTACAATAGAGCACACAGTTCCACGAAATAATCTAGGTAAGATTTCGGAAATCCATTCCACACGAATTTTGTTTTGACACCTATCGCCGGTTTCCTACAAAGTAAGAAACGAAACTTCATGCAATAAAACTATATCCAGATAATTCACGACGAGATAACCTCGCATGTCCATCGAGGAGACATAGGTAGACGCAGATGTTTTCATCCCATAAAAAATAGCGAGATAAGCCAGCTTCGGGCAGAGCGTAGTCACTGACTGCACCAGAACATGTGTATGGTTGCATCAGATAAGTGTTAAAATTGGGCAAATGCCTTCTCCTTAGGAGTAAACGATTGCACAAAATACACCAAATTGCAAATTACACCAAATTCTTGATCTACGGAGCTGTTTTGCGTTGACCGCGTCGTTACACTGGATGCGACATTTATGGCGAATTTGCAAGGTAGACACAAAAAAGCCAAGACAGGTTGGTGCTTTATCTTAGGTTTTTATAATCCATCTTCTACAATCACAAAGTAAACTTTCAAAAGTATCGCTCAATCTGTTCCTCCGAATAGACTATCAAATTAGTTGGCGGGACACTGCAAGATGGATTTAAACCAATGAAAGGACAAAGCGATTATTGAGCACTATCACTTAGGCCTAACACATTACAAAAGGAGGAATTCAATGCCAATCATCACCTTCAGAAAACTTCACCTGAAATTTGCGAAACCCGCCTTGCAAGAGACTGAGAATCCCAAAACAAGCTGGCAAATTGTAGAACCGGAGATAATTTTCGAAAGCGCTGTTTGAAGTTGATCAAATAATCCCCATTGTTTGTAGCCTAATGCGAAATTGTTATCATTCAAGGGAACAAACTTGTGTTCAGCAGACATATTAATGTGTTTCATCAGAACCGAATCGCCCGAAGAGAAGCAAACAAGACGGCTGAGCAGGCCATATCAATTCGGCAAAACCATTAACCTAACACATTAAATTCTACTGGGTATTCCACGGGAATTTTTTCGCGGCTGTTAGTGATTGTACGGCCGGAGAACTCGCATCAAAACAGCGCACCGATGTCATTATCATGCACTCTGTTGGTCCTCTGAACCCACTTATGCGGATTGTACACAGAAGCTGAAATTTGGGCGAAACCAGGTAGGTATATTTTCCTCACCTGTTAAGAATATGGGTAAGAACATGAATAATTCGATACTTTCAAAATAATCAATTCCCCCACCGAACTAGATTATTTGTTAATCAGTCCACCGCCTGAAAAGTTGCATTGTTTTTCCTAGCCCACTCATGAAGATGTGCATCACAACAGGTTTCTGCAGTAACGAAGCTGAAAATCATAGTTTCACTGACTGTGAATTTTGTAATCTCTGAAGTCGGTGGAAAAAATCTAAGTGATAGCCAATATGCATCTTGGAACGATTCTGCCTGGAACATTTTTTTGCTTTTTATAATGTGATAACTCACACCAACCGGTGACATTCTAAACTTAAAATTGATTTTGGGACTTTGCACACTCTTTTGTAAACCTCAGGAGTATTCGTGGCCAATTAGGGTTGCACTTCAATAGCGGTATTTTTGTTCTTTCAGTGCTCAGCTCTCCGTCTGCGCTGGACAAACTTTTTCTTGGCTGTGCAATCAAAACAAATCAAAATTCTCTAATTATCCGGAGGTGCTAGCCCCCCGATGGCTCTATGGGCCATCTGAGAAAAACGCCGCGTTTCGCCCGGAATCATGGCCGTATGGTTCAGATTACGCGGAACCCACAGAAAGTGCTTAATTTTTCCGTACTCATTTGCGCTGTTAGATGTAGTGTGTTTATAAGATTAATAGCCTCACAACATTGTAACGTTTTCTCAATTTTATATGACAGGAATAAGCTGCTAGAATTTTCCAGATTGACGAGAAAGGTGTAGGTGACAACTCAGGCACCCGGGCTTTTACGATCCTCTATTTCTCTCTCATGTCTCGCCATTGAACAGCATGAGAGGCTTTTGGTGGCGCTTACGAAAATTATTGAATACGCGAAACCTACATCGAAGCTCTCCGTGTTTTCCGAAAATCGCATTTTCCAGAATGCACTGAACATTTTATTTCAACATATATCCGGAAAACCTCAACATGGGTACATACCAGTAAGAGAATCTGTCCATTGAGCCGACCACACCCCAGAACGACAATTAGCTAGAACTGTGATTTAGATATAAGTATAACGATACTCGCGCGTGTGTGGTAGCGCCTAGTTGTCATAGGGGTGTAATTCCGAGAGCCAGTAACAAACAATAAGTTAAAACATGTTTCAAGCTGATTCCCTGTGGTTATTTTGCTCACTGTATATGTGGTACACCGAAGTGTTTCCTGTGCACTCGCTGTTCCAAGGCGAAGCGCCATATTGTACTTATGGTGAAGCCTTTCGACGAATAAAGATTGTTAGCTCCATCTGTGTTCACCGGATTTTGCTGGGCGTGAAACGCATCCCTCCATTGTTTGCTACAGGAGGTGTTCCGATAATTTTCTTGACCATTCTTAATCTGTTTTCCACAAGTGGACGTAGCCGCAGTGCGCAGTGCAGTTTCATCCTACAAATGAATTGTCGTTTTCCTGAGCTGCCCGGTTTTTTAACTCTTCTCGAATTCTGTGTATCCTAGTTGCTCGATACTCCAAGTGCGTCTTTGAAACACAAAATCGATTACTGTGCATGTCAAATCCTGACCACGATTAATTCTTAATTGCCAGGCCCTGTACATACGTTTGCATGGTTTATAAATTTTCTCAAATTTCCCTTTCGTTTGTATCTTACCAATAACTTCAGTTAGATCTGTCCACCAGAGGGCGCCACTGATGTTTCAAGAGAATATTGGTGTCCAGTGTGCAAGTGCATCGAATTGGCCGCATAACGAGAAGACTCTAGCGTTATTTTGCCGAAATATGAGATGTTTAGCCGGTCTGTCCGTGTGTCGGGCGTTACGAACATATTTTTGATCTGAAAAAAATCAGACAAGGATGACTATTGAGTGTGCCGGATAGCTTGTTCTGACGGAAGACGCAAGGTATTCTATCTTATTTTTACCAAAATCAGGCAATGTCTCGATTTCGACAAAATTATACCGCAAATATCTGTTTCATAATCGCTATTGTCCCATGGAAAGAAAATGAATAAGATATACGTACAACATGCGCGAAAAGAATATAAGCAAGCAGATAGATTGAATGTAAGCAATTCATGTTATCGACCATTGTTGTGTACAAATTCAAGTGTACCATTTTCATACGCGATCATAAGTCGCAATCAGAGAATGATATAAGGGCAAGGTCATTGAGATGGATTGAATAATTTTGAATGGTAGGCTGAAATACCAAACCGACGTGTGACATCGCTTTCTGAATCCTAAGCACGACGCGTTCATGTGGGAGAGTGGGTTATCCAGGTTTAATGAGAGTATTTCCAACTCGACCCCGTAGCAATCGCCCGCGGATGCAAATTCAAACGGAACATAACCCCTGTTGGTGTGGTGAGAATACCAGCGATCGCATTTGTGCGATTGCGTTCCTATAAAAACTCAGATTGTGCAGTGGACATAGACACAAACTGGGCCGTTGATCGACTCGAAAAACTTGTGGTGGTGGCCTCTGCCATTGAGTAATAAACATGCGTTGAGCGCTGGAACCCATGAATTAAACGAACGCAATGCCGCCAAAAGATTCGGTGCTCGAAATAATAAAAAGCAGTACCATCACTCTGGCTGGAAAACAATCCATCTACAAGTAGAACTACGGCAAACCTATTGACGACATCTCATTATATATTGCCATTGGCAACCTTCCCTTTGGTGACAAAATCATCATTCCGACCGTCCTACCGTAGTTCCACATGGAGCATTCAGAGAAATGCTGTTATGTTTACTGACCCGGTATGGGTGACAACATGAATTAGATATGTCAGAGCTGTGTATTTTGAGCAGCAGTCCGAGAAGTGCTAAACTTACAATAACCACAAACTTTTCCTCAGAAAGGAATGACGAGCAATGACGAGCATCTCTGTGGATTTTGCCACACAAGTAAATAGAAAAACGTCCTTATTTTTGTCGATGCGTTCAGCAAGTGGCCCGGCAGGTTTCTTTATGATCTTCATTTGGTAAACTTCAGAAATATTCCGCTGATGGATGGAAATTTCCACATAAATTAGGCGCATCATTTGTGCACGATTGTTGAACCATTCCGCAGGTGAGTGATCGCGTTTCGGGCTGCACAGGGCGCAGTTGACTATCTTGATCCCAGCTCTTAACATAAAAAGTTCCATTGAAAGCCTCAAATATTTAGGCTTGACGCAATCCAAAGAGAAATCCACAGGGCAACCCGATGATAAGCGTCGAGAGTTTACTCCAAAGACATACGTAATTAAAACACATATTTGCTATGGAACCTAACCTGACATCATCAGAATGCAAACGGTTGGCTGGAGCTTATAAGCATTTGGTCTACACTTTATCTTCTCGTGCAGATTCGCCCTCGCTTGGTCGCAAAAACTTCCTGGCATGGCACCGTCATACTAGTCCATGTATATGGTTGTAAATGAACACAGATTACTTCCTTACATATGGCTGTCTACAGATCGACATGTTATATTCGCCCAATGTACGCATCTGTCAGATGTCGAGGTATAAACTTATATTTTATTTGTAATAATGAATCGGTGTGTTTAACTATGTTGTCAGAGAACATTGTGAAGTGTGGTTTGCAAGAAAGTGAAACACAACATTGTTAATTCACATAAATGGTCCTGGAGAACCAGACGGCTCAGACATTCTAAAAGCATTACGATGAAAACTCAGATAGGATGCATCGGTGTTGAAAGGTTCTGATAGACTCATTTACAATACAGCGTGTTCCAACAAGTCCAACGTATCTTGTGTTTTTTCAGGTTATAATTGTTTGTGAACAAGTATTTTTGTCGGTCCCTACCAACTAAGAAAACAATGAAGAGGAATAATACATAGGTTCTCTGTAAATTGGTGATTTCAATGCTGGTAGTTACTTTGGTCAAGATAGCAAGAACAACATCATACATTTACACGGAAATCACTGCAAACATACGTCAACCTATACACTACCCCAAATAAATGTCAGAATATTCATCAGCTGCAACCAGTGTATCCCCATCAACCAAAACACACAGCAATTTCTGCTAATTCAAAAGTCTTTAGGTCATACAGATTACCCGAGACGCGATTGGTCCATTTGTCGATACCGCGGACAAATGCGGCTGCACTGCCTGTTGTACGCAGTTGTGAGCGACAAAGCGAATTGGTTTCAATGGTCTTGCGACTTGCTCAGGGTCAATAAAAATTTAAAAAATGTTCTGCAGACGTTTATCTATATGTCGAACACCCGTCCGCATGTTCAGGATGGGGGTTGTCATGAGAAGATGAATTTCGTAAAGCGCTACCCTTCGCATCCATTAGAAAATCGTTTTTGTAGCACTTTTCAAGAAAACTTAAACTTTTAGCTGTAATATTAGAAAACTCGGATGAACCCTAGAAGGCGTGAATGGTACACCTCGGACTCTCTCATCGCCGTGGCTTGGAAGCGCGATACAATTTTCTTCATTTATTTCCACGATAGAAACTGGAACAACATGGAAGTCGTCTCAGCTGTCTACTGAGGCGCGAAACCCTGCACCTCCCGTCAGCATTGGTCTGCGCATTTACCGTGAATTTGAAAACATCCACAATTACACTGTTTATACCGATCTACGTTTATGTTCATTGCACTTTGTTGATAAAACCATAGAACCTAGCCATGGGTGCAGACCTACGTAG